CGTACATAACCACGAATCTTTAAAATTGTCCCCCAAAAACTAATCCCTCTATTCCTTCTAATAATGAACGCTTACAAAATGGCTTCTTATTAACTCAAACGGCCATACTTAATTCCACCTACGAATCCAATAAAAGCTACAGTAGTAAATCAGGAATCAATTAAAAAAAAACGTTGCTCTTTAGACATTAAACCTAGAGCCCGAACCAAACTTAAGTCAGCCGCGAGGTGGATTTATTTTTGTGCTGTGTCGAATTTCGTCCAACCGTCATCACAGTAAACCAACTGTAATCAAGCGCAGGTAGCTATATTATATGGCCTGACACCCTAATAATCGAGAATTTGTCTTATTTGGAGATACCTAGTGCTGTAAAGGTAGCGCATTTGATTAGGTTTTTACACGCGAATAAAGTTTATTTACTGACCTTTATTTACAAAAGATTAATTTGCGGTTAGAAACATTACTCTAAATACGAGCAACAGTGGAAAATTTAATCCACAAAGAAAAACGGCGTGACCATAAAACAAGTTTGTTTGCGATATAGGGAATATTATTCGCAAAATACAATAATTAAAGGCTTTAAACAATACCCTTAACACACTTTGGTTTAAAGGCTCTTCAAGATTCTTAAATCAAATACTTTTAAAGCTTATTAAATGCTCTAAGATTGTGATGACTCTTGAAGACCTTGAAGGTTTGTCTAAAGGCTATTGGAAAGTTTTGGAACTATTTAAGGCTCTTATATGCACATTGGAGACAAGAACGCTCTTAATAGTTCCTAAAACCATTAAGTCTATTAAAGTCATTAATAGCTCCTTCTTAATAGACACCCTTAAAGGTTTAAAACCCTTTAAAAAAGCTGGTTTCTTGGAACCTTCTTTTAAGTTTATTGCACACTATTTAACTCGAACGAAAGGACTAGTATTACTGAAATAGACTGCACAATTCCCAACCAATGGAGCAAAATAATCCAAACATGTGTTTGGGTTGGAGTCTTATCAATAAAATACAAGATCTGTTCCACGCAAATAATTTTCACGGGCCGACTCCTTTAGAAATATTAAGAAGTACTTCAAACAAACGCCTTCCTAAAAATACCCGACCACTATAACTCATACAAATAAAAAAATTTAAACGGGTACATGACGTTATTAAGCGTTTTCAACAACAAAATTTGGGGAAATGAAGAAAAAACTTTACTTTAATCTCATCGAAATCTGAGGTTATGTTATTTAAATTTTGTTATTCTTAAGTTGGTGAAATTGGAAAAGCTGATCGTTTTCAGAAGTGACAGCTAATTGTTGTTCTTGGGTCTACTAAACTGAAATGCTGGGTTTAACGTGTTATTAACAGTTAATGCAATAAAAGTAGTATACTAGGATAATATAGAAAATAAAATTGTAGGTTTAGTTTCGACTTATGCTCAAAACAAGCGAGACTTCCAAGTCACATGTAAATACACTTTAATAAAAGCACCTTGGAAGACTTCCATTAGACAGTTTCTTTCGTATCGGCGGCCGCTATAATTTCGAACGTCTTTTTCGTATCAGCCAGTGACTACTTATACACTCCGAAAGGGGAAGGACACCCTTTCGCATCTTCACAGACCGGCTATTTGTTATCGACCGCCGATTAACTTCGAACGATCCTGATTTGATATAGAAGCGCATTAGCAATAACGAAACAAGGCGTTTCTTTCGAAAATAATTCACCAAATTCCCGCTGAATCCATCGGAATCTAGTAAACCACGCCAAGCTTCCTACACCAAAATCGCTCTCGGTATCTGCGCAAAACGGTCAAAGTCGGCGACTTATCACGACTGTTGTATACAGCGTTTTCGTATTTTTTACCTTTCAGATGTAAGGTGGGTTGCCTAGCCGTAGGGGTATGTCACCAAAATAAAAAACTCGAATTTAAGGGTTTTCGTTAGAGATTCTTGAAAACCTTTGGAGGGTCAAGGGTTCTGTAGTCTTTTGGAAGACGATTCCATTTTATTTTTGACATTTCTCGTAGTTTTTGACAACTTTATGCAAGGTGATATAGTCAACGCCATTTATTTATTGTTACTTCAACTGTAAGCTTCTAACAAATCACGAACAATTACAATTGCAAAGCTTAATTAAATTAGGTACATTCGTATATATTAATTACGTGTGATAATAAGCGTAATTAGTCGAGTTAAATTGGTGTAATATTCTGCTGGTGACGCGGAGGTGCTTCTTGGTGTGTTCCCCGAGTCTGCGAGGGCGGACTAAGTTTTGTTCAAAGTACATCATGTCGATAAGAAACAGGCACCTAACATCACCGCCTCATTCTAACATCCAATCCATCGGGAACGATTATACCGAAAACGTCGGTCTTCGCCGAATTTTCCGACGCGTATCCCGACATTTCTTCGATATTTTCCCGACCTCGTTTCGCGCCGTCCGCCGTTAAGATTTTAAACTCGACGTCCGCGTAGCAATTCATGGTGCACATCGGTCCCTTCATTTGCAGCACTGTCTCGCCCGTCGGCGACTTTTATCAGGAACGTGGGGTAGAGAAGCGACCACTCCTGTGCGATTAGTCCGACCGTGGTTCCGCGTCGGCGCGCTGATCTCCATCGATTGCATGCAGCGAGGGAAACAGCACGCCTGGCAGGCGATCGGTCGGGTCAGGTGGATCACCTGTTGCCATAGTGTCGAAGATCTTCATGGCGAACGCCCGCTTCGAATCCGCAAAACTTCGGGAGCAGTCTCCGATTTCTTTCCTTGGCGGGTGTACATGATCACTGGCCGGATGTTGTTTCGTGACGCGAAACTGGTTTCGGGCTCGCGTTCGCTGGCCAGCGCTTCGGCCAAATTGAAGATTTGGTTCACCATTAGGGGTGTCGACCAGCGAGAGAAATTCCAAACCGGGTGGACAGTTGGGTTACATTTTGAGGCAGCACATCCAAGTTGATACTTGCGGGGGGTCCACTAGGCACGCCTCCTGGACCCGTGGAAAAATTGGGCTGTGAGCGGAGTGCGTGATGTGCTCCATTGGTGAGGGGGAGCGAATGCTCCAGGGCGGCGGTGGTCCATTAGTTCACTTTGCGGTTGTCCTGTCACAGGGAGGACTGATGCATAGTTCCCTTGTTGGCGACCCGGGCGAATGTTCCCTTGTGGCGGCCGGCGGATAGTTCCTTGTGGCGGCCCGGCGGATAGTTCCCTTGTGGCTGTCCGGTCTAGGAGGCCGGAGTGGATAGTTTCCTTGTGTTGTCCGGTGATAGGGAGCCGTAGTTTTCCCTGAGGGGGTGATAACTACGTAACCATCGCACGCGATCCGTAGGAATGCCTGGGATGGATTTACTGACAGTTTACCGGGTGGTTTCCTTCGAATCGTTGCGGTCCATCTGTTAGTTACAATTTCGCGAATTACTTAATGTTTATTATCAATTATATATTGTTAATACTTACACAATTTGTAAATTTGCCACTAATCGAAGCACCCACAACGCCTAATTTCGAGAACTTGATGTCTCATTTGAACTATTGAAAACATACCGAAATCAGAAGATCCACAGAATGCGTGTTGGTGTGTTAACGTAAAACGCATTACTCGTGCGAAGTGCCTCGTAAAATGCAACTTTAGCGGCTCAATGGTTACAGACTATTCGTAAATTACATTATAATACGACTGGTTAATTATTACACGAATTGCCTCTGTGTAGTAAGTAGGCGATACCTTGCCTGCGTTAAAGTATGGTTGGAACTTCTGCAGAGTCAATAATGTAGCCTTCGTGGCAGATGATGTCATTGGTCCGATCATGCATACGTCGGAGAGGAGAAAGTAGAAGTTGGAAATAAAGTTAAATTTTGTTTCATTCAACACTCTCTCTTTTTTTTTGTTTTCATGGCACTTCAATTAAAGGTCTCGACAAAAGGAACTGTTTTGTACCAACCACCGCCCTACTCCTTATCAAAAGTGGGGTTGGGAGGGGGGACTGGTTTTATCCTTCATGGTACTCTAATGAAAGGTCTCGAAGAAAGGAATTAATTTCTACCAACCATAGAGTCCTCCTCGACTCCTTATCGTAATTGAATATAAATGATTCCTTATAGATCGCAAGAACAGATTGTCACAAAGGGCGATTGGTCTGGAAGAAATATATCTATGGGTGAATTGGGGAAAATTGTTATTTCTACAATAGCTTTTTTACTGTGACGCCGCCTTCGACACCATCACGAACAGCGGAAAAGTAATTGTTCTTAAGATAAAGATCTGATGGACGAACGGACAAAGTGGGCGCATGAGCGCAATTCTTTTTTAAATTTTTGGTGAAAATGCGCTGAAAAAGCAGAGCGTTGCGTTATGATCGGTTGACGATTTTCCGGGTACTAAATTTTACCTTCTGTTTTCTTCTACCACCGGAACTACTTTCTATGTTCTACTACCCTCTTGCAAACAAATGTAACCTTGTGCATGCTCACGTTGCATTGAAGAAAGCGCACGTACGCCTACTTTCTGACTCCTTACGAAAAGAGGGGATGGAGAAGGGGGGGGGGGGGCCTAGAACTGGTTTTATCCTTCATGGTACTCTAATGAAAGGTCTCAATGAAAGGAATTAATTTCTACCAACCATAGCCTTCTCCTCGAATCCTTATCGTGATCGAATCTCAAGAACAGATTGTCACAAAGGGCGAATATCTCGAAAACGCTTTGTCGGAGGAAAGTACTCACAAAGACAAAATGAATTGTCTGGACGAGACATATCTCTCGCAATTAATCATCAAACAAGGAAGAAAACCGATAAATGTAACATGCTACTACCATTGTATTTATAAACAAATACAATGCTACTACTTTATAACGCAACCATTTACTATTTGTACGGTTTAAAAAAATGCGCTTTATCTGCGCAATTGTTGCTGCGAACCTTGAAAGATTAGCCTCCGGCAATAAGGAGTATAAGTGAATTTGATTGTTTTTAGTCGAAGTCAAAGTCTTAATAATAATTGTGGTATCTCTATAGTTGTTTTATATGTATCTCAGCACGCAACCTATTTCACCCAGTTTTGTCCGATCCGACGAACCACCTTACCTTTGGGTCGTGAACTAACGAAAATGCCCTACCCTCATTTTTTGCATAAATTTATTGAACACGATCCAAAAATACGTAGTGGTAGGCGGGAATACCCAGCTATTTTTATTTGCCTCGAACGCGCGTTCACTTTCCGCGATTGAGAAAGTTACAATAAAGTAATTAAATCGAACAGAAATGCAATCGCGCTTGTGCTATGGTTTGAGATAATTTTGTTTATCGTAATTATTGTGGCTATCAACATACAATTTCCGCTTCCCACATCGATAGACATTTTTAATTTCTGTGCGATCATTGTTACTGGACCATATCCGTCAGCAGTATCACAGGTAAAGTGTACTTTTAATTGTCTGCTGGTCTCGAACACTTTTAATCGCAGGTGAAAAGATGGCGGAAGAAATTCCTCTGCCAGTAATCGACTTTCAACCGCAGAACGGGTGCATCGCTAAGCACGCGGGCTTGGACGATTTCAAAACCGTCGACGAATTACGACTTTATCCCCAAAGATCGACCGATTACAAATATCTCGTGACAAACAAGCAAAACGACAACATGTATAAAGTCCAAATCGACTCGGAAGCGAGCCACTGTCAACCCCAGAGGCCTTACACCATACAATTACTCGACAATTCCGACGCCCCAATTATGAAAATCACCCATTCGATCGGATGCGAATCGTGCTTTTGCTGTGCACTCCCCCAGAAGGTCGACATGTTTACACCGCCCGATACACCCGTGGGTAGCTTGGAGCAAGAGTGGAACTTGCTATATCCAACTTTCGCGGTGAAGAATGAGAATAAGGAGATAATGCTCCGAATAGAAGGACCATGTTCGCGGCTTACATGTTGCTCGGATCCAGACTTCAAAATCATAACACCGGACGGCGAGAAGGAGATCGGGCAGATATCACGAGAACACTACTTGTACTCAAAAATAACGTTCGCGGAGACTTTGGATGCGAAGACGAAGGCTCTGCTGCTTGGATCGTGTCTTGTGGTTAATTTAACTTATTGGAACGTGTAGCAGGGGCGTTTTTGTGTATCAGTTTCATATAAAATATATTCATAACCAAATCCCATTCGGTATCGATAACAATAAAGTTCCGAAATAAGTTGTGTTTTGTGCAGTCGGTGAGCTCACTTCGAAGATTCGACAAAATCAAATGGCATGTATGACGTCACGCTAAATTTTACCTTTCCAGAGTCTTTCGAGAATTGTGTAGGGGCGGGTCTCTCGCATAGTGCTGCAAATAAAACTCACAATGTTTTGGATTCTGGAGAAGAACAGAACCCTTTGACCAAGAGTAGTAAAGTGCAGGAAGGCTGACATGATGCTCTGGAAAGGCAGACCTGAAAAGTAGCCAAAAATTCTCGAAAGGTAGTACGACCAAGAAAAGAAAAAACCTTCTAGCCCTTTCGAGATCATTTCAAGATTTTTCACAGCTGTCTCGACCTCCAAGACTCAAAAGCTTGTCTGGTCTTCTGGCAGCTTTCAGATCCCTAAGTGTTTCCCTGTGTTCCTTCGCGGAACCATCCCGGAGCTAGCCTGCAGTAAAGAACCTCCGGTAGTAATTAAAATGCTCCGGAAATGACCCAAAACGTGCTGGAAAAGATCTCTAGAAAACATATTGCATGTAGTAAAAGTAGGTAACGCATTTGACTCTGTGCATGCGACAGCTTCAGTACCGAGGCATTCGTCCCGAAACAGACCCGAGTCTATGGTTGGTCTAAATTAATTCCTTTCGTTGAGACCTTTCATTAGAGTACCATGAAGCATAAAACCAGCCCCCCTCCCCCCTCCTAATCCCCTCTTTTGATAAGTCAGAAAGTAGGGCGGTAGTTGGTAGAAAACAGTTCCTTTTGTTGAGACTTTTAATTGGAATACCATGAAAGATAAAATTAATTTCTACCCCCTCCCTGCTCCCCCCCGGCCACAAACTGATCTCGGAAAGGAATCGCGCAGCAAAGTTATTGTTTGTACAAACCACGTTTTACATAAAAAAATAGCATCTCAGGAAATAATTCAGGAGGGGGAGGGGCGGAGGGCTTCAGACAGCGATATTTGGTAAAAAGTATAAGCTAGATATAGTAAAAAATTCCAGGACTCTAGGCCCATTCCCCTAAAAGTAGTTCACAACCGGACGGACAAAACGCAAACAATAGCATTTTTATAATTCCTAAAGAATGCGCTAAAAATAGATTGTACAGGTATATAAAAACAGATTAAAAACAAATTGTCAAACAAAGAATTGATTAGGATACAAGCAGGTAACAAAACAAGGTAGCTATACAATGTTCTTCTGTTAAAAGTGACATGGAAAATTGCGTGGATTTGGAGTTTTTTGTTAGCAGAGTTCAACCCCTGGAAAAGGTAACATTGGGACCTCGTTCGGGATTTCCGACCCTATAGTTGCGATTCGAGATTAGTCCCACCATCCCTGTGATTGTCCCAATCATTGCGAAAGGTGTCAGTTTACAAATAACACACCCAGCAAACACAATCCATAAATTTAAATGAATGATCAAATATTTATATAAATCTAACTTCCATAAATTGAGCAAACATTTACACCAAAAATGAAAACGATTTCAAAACAATCAAAGTTCCATACACGTGATACATTGAAGTTAAACCATGATAATTTCCAAAAACAATTATAAAATGTTGTACACAGAAAATACATAAATTGAAAAAAAATTAAATGCGCTCTATGTATGGCAGCTTCAAACAAGATGATCTAAATCTAACGTACGAGGCATTTCTGCTCGAGGCAGCTTTCCTCTTCTAATGTCGCGCGGTTGCCAGCTCTCAAAAATTTGTGCATCATCGTAGGTTGTTTATACAGAGTTGAGCCTCTCAAAAGTCTAGTTAGTTGCGGTAGAGGTATAAAAAGTTGTATAAAAGCCATAGATCGGTCTAAAAATGCGTTGATATGTGCCTAGAAAGTACGTAAGGGACTATGGAATGACAAACAATATTGTGAGTGTATAATACATTTCCAGAACGGAGAGAACAATAGAATGATCTAGAAAGAGACTTGCAAACCGCTCCGATTGTTCTGAAAAAACCTGTCCATCAGAGCCTTTCAACTCAATCCGACTGTCTAGCTCAGTGGTAGAGCCTAGAGTAGAGCGTTGGGCTACATAGCCGAGAGGTCGGGTGTTCGAACCTGAGCAGAGGTAAAAACTTTTCATCTGTGGCAGAGATTCGTAAGGTAAATATCGGAGTAGTATAGCTGCAGGGGCATTATGCTAAAGCCTGTTGAGGGCCCAGAACGTAGAAAACGCGTATATGCTTCTGGAAATGGTCTACAAATACATGAAAATTAACTAAAGGGGGCGCGCAATACAGTTCTGGAGAGGCATTAAATCACTCCAGGGAAGACCTAGCAGACATTTGCCTGAAAAACACACACAAGGCACATGAAACGATCTTATAAGGCTTTTCTCTGTCAATGACAGAATCCAGAGCTAAATATGGCTATTGGAGGAAAAATGGTAGATAAGGTTTAGTAAGCGCTGGGGCAAATGCAAAGAAAGTTGTGCCGACATACCCATGCGATTAGGCAACACGCTTTACATCAGAAAGAATAGCACTATCGAAAAAAAAATGAAACGCTTTGTATACACCAATCGCGATAAGTCTTCGACTTCGATCGTTCTGCGCAGATGCCAAGTCATTAGTTGCATTTTACATTGAATTTGTTGTTTATTGAACCAAGTACCGTTAGTGAATCGTGAATGTACAGGTGGTTATGCCTTTATAATGTATTATTAGGTATTTATTTGTGTTTAGGTGAAAGTATATTAATAAGTTGCCTTTTATGAGTCGAATAAGCGTGTATACCGTGGAGATAGACAGTTTACTGATTCTTCGCGGTATAGGTTGCATTATCAATCTCGTGCGAGAAGGGGTGTCCTCTAATTAACCTTTCTTCTGTTTACTATGTGGGCTTGCTTGTGTGATAATTAACTTAGGCACCTGCACTTTTGTGTTAAATTAATGGTAGCCAATGGAGTAGAGCCATCCCATTTTGATGTTTTTTATGGACATGCAATTTATCATTTTACGAATTGATCGTAGATGTGTTTTTGTACTCATTTGATTTATCTTGTTTTACATTAATTGTATTTTATTATGTCGTTTATTGTGTTGGGATGACAACCACTGCTCGGATTGTCCCTATCTGACTACGGTATTGCTTAGTGTGCCAAACTTAATTATTATTATTAATTTTATCGATGTAGAAGGAAGTTGTAGCTTAACCTGAATACAAATTTTCTTTTTGTTATTTAACTTATAAATCATGTTAACGTTCTTTCTCTTGTTCCATCTTAAATCCCCACTTGTTTCTGTTCTTATTAATTTGGAACATAACCACCTGAACGTTTGCCATTGATTAGTGGACCTCTACCACATGCAGTAGGAAAATTCTTAGCCCGCTCCTACACAGGCGTCATAAAAACTTTGCCTTTCAATTCGTAAGTCCATCTAGAAATTATACGGTTCTAATCTGGTAGGGTCCTACGAATTTGGGAGCAAGTTTGGCGTTGAAGTTCTTAGAAGCGCCAAAAAGTACAAAAATTCCATACGCAGTTACTTTTCTTGTATGTAATATGTCTATGTCGAAGGCTTCTTGAAGTGCGACCATCTTCCATTCACCAATAAGATTATCTGAGGATTCTAAAATTCTAACACGCCTGTCAAGTAAACAAAAGGGTTCTAAATCAGCACCAAGAATACGTTCTCAGAAAAGTTGCAGGATTATGTAAGCCGAAAGGCATACGAGTAAACTGAAATAAAACGTGTCCAGGTACAGTGAAGGCTGAAATAGGTCGATAATCAGGGGATAAAAGCATTTGTCGGTAAGCAGAACGAATGTTAAAAATTTAGCGTCTCTCAAAGGTCTAAAATTGAACTAAGGTACGGTAAAGGATAAGCGTCTTTCTGAATTACAACGTTCATTTTCCTCTAGTCGACACAAAACCGATAGGAATTATCTTTCTTCTTAACCAAAACTACACCTAACTCTAACATCTAATTCCTTGTTCGCAGCTTCTAGTAGGGTAGAAGAACTTACGATGCACACATTTTTGAGATATGGCAAGCACGCAATTTTTAGAAGGGGAAAGCTGTTTGAGCCATCTGGAGAGCACTAACGTTGGTTACGTGATTACGTCACGGCAATGGTAAAAACTGTAATCAAATGAGTTACGAGACCCAATTCCGTTCGACTTTCAACTGTAAGCTCGAAGCCCCGAGACTAGGGGCGAGTTATCTATCTTGGGGCAAGATTACGCTAATTTCCACATATTTGCCAGATAGTTGAATTTGCCTACAAGGCCATTTTCCATCTTCCTTTTAACAAAAGGGCTTTATTGCACCAAAAATGAGTCACATCATGTACTCTTCGCCCTTTCTCAGAATTTAGGTACATGCCCCATTGTTCCCAAAATCTGTTTTTAACCGTGAGTGTAACCAGCTTGGTGTATATGCATTTACTATCTTTGTTAACCACTGTTAAAACTTGATAATTTTACAAATTATTTTGTTAACTGACTTTTGGACTGTACAAATCAAACTGCAAGGTTTTTCTCCGTCGTACTCTTTTTACCCTTGGCTTGCTTACATTAATGTACAGGGTATCCAAATAAGAATGCGAGGTACTGTATCTGGGAACCTGTCCATGGTAGAGCCTTGCAGTAAAAAAAAGTTATTACTAAAACGGCCACGAGAAAAACCTGGAAAATATTTTTAAGTTTCTGAAATGGCCGCTAGGGGGCGTAACTGCAATCTGGAATCTAAAGTCACTAGATATAGAAAGTACCGCAATCATCCGCCATTTTTGGGCAAATTTGCTGCCAACTTAAAAAATTGACAAATAAAATCTGAATAGCTGTAATTTTTTATAACCTAACTTCATAGTACTGTCATGTTTTATAAAAATATATACAGATATCTCCAAACAGGTGGAACAATCCCTAACATTAAAGTTACTGTAACTAGAATCTGGTAACTTCCGCCATTTTTGGGCAAAAATCATGCGTTCTCTTTCTAACACACGAGCCCAATGGATTGCGGTACTTTCTATATTTAGTGACTTTACTGGAA